ACAGCTCATTGCAGCAGTCTGAAAGTTATTTTCTTTTGAAGCATTTGCAGGGTGAAGGGCTCTGTGTGCTGCTCATAAGGCATTTTCCTGATTGATGTCCCACATCATCTTACACATCTTCCCAGAAAATCTGTGGCTGCCCCATTCCTGGGAGTGTCCAAGGCCAGGTTGGACAGGGCTTGGAGCAACCTGGGCTAGTGGAAGGTGCCCCTGCCCATGGCAGGGGGTGGGACTGGGTAAGCTTTAAGGTCCTTCCAGCCCAAAACATTCTGTAATTCTGTGATTTTTATCACTTATCAAAATGTAACAAAAACCTTAGGCTTTAACGAAATGGTGACCAATGATAACGTTTAAAACCCACTTTTTCCTAGTGAATCATTAGTATGGATAGAAGTTTAGGACCCTGATGTCAGAACTAAAAGCCTGGTCAAAGAAAGTGGAGGAAAGGCTGCAAAGTAAACCCAAACCTCTCAGTGATTCCATGATCTTGGCGTGGGGTTTTTTGGCAAACAGGAGCTGCCCCCAACTTTTCCCCACCACAGAAAAGCCACAACAACATTAAAATGCTGCTGTTGTCATGGGTAGAGTGTTCTGGAAAGCTGGAGAAGGAAGGAGCAGTTGTAATGAAGTGATATATTGTTGGTCTTGGGGCTACAGTGGTTAAGGAGAAGTTATAGCTCTGCCTAACAAGGAAAAAAGCAATTTCTTAGACTTGAACTTTGCAATAATGAAATGTGAAACCGTGTGTTGGAATCACTTCTGTAGCTAAGGGCCATCTGCTGCTGATGGATCAGAATGTCCTCAGCTCCAAAGACATTCACTGAAAGGCCCAGAATAGGTTTTTTTTTGGAGTTTTAGAGCATCTCGGGGTTACTCATAACCAGCAATACCTCAAGCCATAAACCTGCTTTTATTTGCAGGAAAAATAGAAAGACTCCAACTCAGAAAAGAAAAAAAAAAGAGAAAAGGTGAAGTTGAATTCAAGTCTGTATTCGGGGCAGCAACATCAGGGAACGTGCAGTGCTGTGTGTGGCTCAGGGAACATCACGGGTGCAGCATAAAAATCAGGATTTTGCAGAGCTGCTTCTGCAAAACACGGATTAAAAATAAGAGTATCACCGTTTCCAAATGTTCCTTTTTACATCAGGCTCACCAGTATTTAAGTGTGGCCCTTGTGTACTCCCCCTAATGTGGCTGTAAGGAGGATCTAGCAGAGTAATTAGAGATAAGCCACTTTTCAATTATCTGCTACCTGCTGCTACCCACTGGTGGACATCAATTCCTGGCAGATAATTTTATCCTTGTGTTACTTGAGAACCTTTGGACATCATGTGCTTGACCTAAATTTTTAATGACATTAGGAAGGCCTAGTTAAATATAAAAATAAGGATTTTGGAGCACAGCTCTCTGTTAAAGTTCCTTGGGCTGTGTTTTTCTTGTGTTCAGCTCAGCATGGGAGTGGTTTTTTGTTGTGCTTTGGCTACAGAAACTGGCTTTTAAACTTGAGCATGAATTGACTGACACAACCCATTAGAAGTTGTGTTGGAGAATGGGAGAGTGCACAGAAAACTCATCAAAGGGAGTTGTGACCATGGTTTTGACAAAGGATAACAGTGAAAAACAAAGAATAACAATCCATGGGACTGAACGCAGTCCAAATCTCACTCAGGATGCATCATTTTCTGAACACCTAATAGCCCTGAAATACAGGATGTACAGTGTTTCCAGTGAAAAACCCAATATATTTCACTTTTTCTATTAAAATAATTATGAGGTGTTTTTTAGAATCAAATCTCAACTCAGTCTCATCCAAATCATGGAATTTAATACAGAACGAGGTTTCTACACTTAAACATTCTCAAATTTTCTACTTTATAAAGTTCCAACTAAGAAAGAAAATGTCATTTCAACAGTTAAAAATTAATTATCAAACCTGTAAAATTAGTTTTATAACAGGAAGGAATCTTGTGTCTTATTCCTTCTGCAACAAAAATATCCCAGGTAAGGCTGGCCCAGATGATCTTCCAAGATCCTGGGCTGTTCTAGGATTGTAAATGTTCCAAGGAATGAAAAATCCTTCCTGTGTCACCAGAGATGTTTAAAAATCATTAGAATTAGTTTTGAATTTTTGGAAAGTAAAACAGCTTCAAGTTTTTAGCCTTTAGGACTTGGATTTTTGGTCTTTTTCCCATCACCTGCAGGTAAGACTTTGTTTAAATATGAACTGAGGCTCTTCCACTGTGACATGAATCATTCAGAAATTTGGGAAAAATATGATATGAAACTGGAAATAAAGTTTGCAATAATGTAAATTAGGAAAGGAGTGGAGAGGTAGCATTTTGGGGGCACATCTTGCTAGGCTGAGTCTAAAGAGGGGTGCAAATGGAAGCTGTTCTGGGCTGGGATTGAGGATTCCAGAGGTTGGGCAGCACTGTGGGACCAGCCTGGGGACAGGGTTTGCAGATCACCTCTAAACATCCTGCAAAAAAAAAAAAAAAAAAAGGAATTTTTATGAAAACAAAGCCCAGTTTTCAGGTGAAAACAACTAAATCCTGGAATTCCTGGAAGTGGGAAATACATTCCTCTGTTTACACATCCCTGGGGAGGGACTTGGTGGAGGTGGCAGAGTCTGGGAGCAGCTGGGATGGAGTGGAAGCAAATCCATGGATGTTTCCACAGGGTGACAGAGCAGGAGGTGTCCAACCATGTCCAAATCTTGTGTCCTTCTGAGCCAGATGGGAATGTTCAAGGGGGAAATATCCTCTGGTCTTTGTCATCAGTGCTGCTCTTCTTCCCAACTGATGATCTCTGTTATAAAATCCATGGAACAGGGAATTAGGTAGAGCTGTCTGAAGAAAAGAGACTCTAGAAATGGGTTTCCAGGGGTTACCTTTAATCTACTATTTTTAACTTTATTATTAAAAAGAACTGCAGCCTTTCATTTAAAAAAAAAATACTTTATTTGAGTTACAAAAGTAAAAAAAAAAAAAGCTTTAACTTAAAAAATCCACATTTTTTTTTTTCGTTAATATTTCTTTGCAACTTTTTCCAGGCTGAGAATCTGTTCTGTTGCTGAGCTGGAGGAAGATTTTATGTCTGAGTTGCAACCCTCTCTCTCTAAAAAAAGAGGAATCCCATAAATGATGGAGTTGCAATAGGGAAAGAAAGAGATGTTGGTAAGACACAGATAAGAGGAATTTATCAGAGCCATGGTGAAGAGAAGGAAGAACCACAAAAATGGATGTGAAAGTTCTGGAAGTGATGGCAAATCCACTGAAAACATCATTATCCAAAGGGCTGATGTCCTGTGGTGACAGAAGCATCTGCCTGTATTTGATTTTCCTCCAGGGATGGATTCCTAAAGTCCAGCTCCAATGAAGATGCACATCAATGGAATTTGATGGTGAGTCAAAACTAAAAATATTGTACTTTTTTTTTTTTTTTTAGCAAGAAACCCCAAGTGGTGCCTTTTGCAAATTTTGAATTCAGTTTTCTTTAAGGTATCATCTGATCTCAGCCAGACTCTCAAAGTGTAAAGGTGCACAAAAAAATAAAAATTAATCACTTTCTCAGACTTTTCTGGACCTTAAAAAAAAAAAAAAGGGTTTGGCTCAGGGTGAGCTTGAGGAATGAGCAGCACCACTCAGAGGTTCTTCTTTTCCCAGGGAAGTTGTTCCATCCCAAACTTTATGGTGGTGAAAGTCGTCGGAACATATTTCCCACTTTTCCATTTGTGTTGGGATAAATCACTTTTACACTGATAGTAAAAAGCACAGGAAACTTGGCAGGTTCCCAACTGGTCAGTTATTCATGTGCTGCTTCTCTCTGTGCTGAAAAGAGACTTAAATATGGGAATTATTCCCTCTTTTATTCCAGAGGGATAATCTCTGGCCTGAAGTCCCAAGCAGCATCATGTCCTGGGGAAACACCTTCCATTTCCATCACCAAAAAGATTCCCAAGAGATGGATTGAAGAGTGGGGAAAAATCAAAGTGATGTAAAGTTGACCCCAATAATTTAACTTCCCCCTCATATTTTTTTTTAAACTTTCGAGGTTTTTTATATGAATTTTTTTTGCTGTCTCAGGGTAAAACAGGTCCCAGAAGAGGTGGAAAAACCAACAGCATTTTTAGGTTTGGTGTCCACACTGAAGGAAATAAAATATTCTTCCAGGCTAGATGTAGGTCTACTATGAAAAAAACCAGAAATACGTTGGTTTGGTGGTCACTGAAACTTTTGCTTTAATCCTCACTAAAAAAACAAACTCTGCTTTCGTTTTCTTTTCTTTTTTTCTTTTAAAATTTAGCTGGATTATTGAATATTGAAAACCTCCTTGTAAAATTTTATGAACATCTCAAGATGAACCCTTCAGCTTTCCCAGCTTTTTAATTTATCTCACCTCTGCCTTTCCAGGAAACTTGATTTTAATTCCTGAGCAGTTCATTGTTAGAAACCCAGAATTTTTCTCTGCAAACCTATAATTTTCAACTCCTTTTGCATCCCTCTGATTCCTGCCTGGAAAAATAAAAATTCCAGGGGACTCTAATTACCCTGAGAGGCATTTTGTTGGTGGAGGGATGAGGATGGTGATGACCAGCACAGCCATTCCTGCATCCAACTGGAGGCACTGGGATGGAAATGGGATTTAGAGAGGCTGTGCAAGGTAAGCACGGAGAATTTATTGTGTAAAAAGTCACGTTTATAAAGCTGCAGCTGTATTTATTATTAAATAGCTTTGCTGGCATTTTAATATGCGATTAATTCAGTGTTAAAAGACCCGAACACCTCTCCGAGCGTTTCCATGGAATGCAGGAGCCGTGGTTTTCATGGATGCCGGAGGGAAAAGCTCCCTGAAATGCATTTTGTGAACACAAGATGGCACTTGGATCCCATGAACGGGGCAGGAGCCCAGCCTGGACGTTCCCTGCACCACGGGAACACTTCAGGGAAGGATTTCATTAGAAAAGCAGGAGAAACCATATGAAGGGAAAAGGAGCAGGTGAAGTGTCCCTAGAGGGGACAAAAATCCATCCCAGGACACAAAGCATATCTAAGGCCAGAATGCCACCCAATTCTAACATTCCTGCAAGTTTCTGTGGTTTATTTTGCCATTAATACACATTTGAAATCTGAATTTTCCTCTATTATCTTGCCCATATTATCTTGTCCGTTATTTTCCATGTTATCTTGTCCTGTTCCTGTCGCAGCTCTGAGCAGTTCCCTGGGCTGGGGAAGGTCAGAAATCAAGTGTTTGTTCACAGAAATCCTCCTGGGAAGGGGCAGGTCTCCCATTCCACTCTTGTCATTAATATAAAGCTACAGAACTTGTGTGAGCTGGAAACTAAACCTGCTTGGAAGGGGGAAATGCAGCTACAGATGGTTTTTAAAAGGTAAATTCAAAATCTCTTGAGAAAAAGGAGGCAAAAGCTCTACCTCGTGCTGAGGGAAGGTGACACGAAAAACAACTCGATTTCCCTCAAAATGCAGGATAAAAAAAGCCAAACATTCACCTCTGCCTGCTTTAAATGAATCAGGCTTCGAATAATAAAGTCATGATTTGGTCTCAAACAAAAATTTAACTCGGAAATAGAGGAAACAAGAAGGGGAGTGATTTCCCATTCCAGTGAGTTATGACAGGCTCATCCATTACAATCAAAAAACAAGCAGTGATGGGAAATGGAACTTTAAAAGTGGAAATGCCAGCCCGAAAAAATTGCTCCTCAGTGATCCCATTGTGCTGTAAATTTGATTGGGCTGTAACTTCCCGACAATTATGAACAACAATTATGCATTTTTATTAGTCCCTGTAAATTAGGGAAGGTTTTACTGTTGAGTTATGGGAGAGAGGGAAGCCCAAACATATGGTTGAGATCTTCAGAGTTCTCCACATCAGAGAAAGCAATGATCATTCCTCACTTAATTCATGTAATGTTTAACAGTGGATTATTTTCCTGCAGAGATTTACCACACTCTCAGGGAAGGAGCCAGAGGCTGAGTAACCTTTCCTGGGCCTTTGGGAAACATTTGCTTTAATCCTCACTAAAAAACCCCAAACTCTGCTTTAGTTTTCTGTCTTTTCTTCTTTTAAAATTTAGCTGGATTATTGAATATTGAAAATCTCCTTGTAAAATTTTATGAACATCTCAAGATGAACCCTTCAGCTTTCCCAGCTTTTTAATTTATCTCAGCTCTGCCTTTCCAGGAAACTTGATTTTAATTCCTGAGCAGTTCATTGTTATAACCCAGAATTTTTCTCTGCAAACCTATGGTTTTCAGCTCCTTTTGTGTCCCTCTGATTCCTGCCTGGAAAAATAAAAATTCCAGGGGACTCTAATTACCCTGAGAGGCATTTTGTTGGTGGAGGGATGAGGATGGTGATGACCAGCACAGCCATTCCTGCATCCAACTGGAGGCACTGGGATGAAAATGGGATTTACAGAGGCTGTGCAGTGTCTCCTTCCACTCTCAGGGAAGGAGCCAGAGGCTGGGTAACCTTTCCTGGGCCTTTGGGAATAAAAGTGCAGCTCAGGGTGTGATGATTCCTGGGAATGAGGTGCCTCCTTGGCAGGATCTTGCCAAATTCTGGGATGAGACAAGCACGAGAAGACCTTCCTGGAGGGAACTGCTCAGGCCTCAGGAGCAACCACTGGGACAAATTAAATCCCTTATGGTGGCTCAGACTTTATTCACTCCTCTATCCTTTGGCAGATCCAGAATATGCACAAATTAAAAGAGATTTTCTCTAGATTTACACCAATCTGAAGCAGGAATTGATCTGCTGTCTGTATGAACCTGTTGTTCAGTGGAATATCCTTAAAAATGGGAGTCACAGTCATTTCCTCTGCTGATTTTGGGCTTCTGGGGGTGCTGGATAAAATATATTTTTTTTTTCACCCAAAAAGATCCAAAAATATTCAAGATTAATTTGGATAAAATAATTAAAAAAATAAACAAAGCAGCTTGTTTTATCCAGGGAGAGTCCTTGTTCTTTCCCCAAACCTCTCTGTGGTAACTGAGTCCAAAGAGTGATGGTGTGGCTGTTGATAGGGATCAGTCTCTCCATCAAGCAGAATAATCATGTAATCAAATGAAAAGAGAAAAAAAAAATAGCCCCTAAATGTTTCTCATGCATGAGGCACCTTGAGCCTGTCAGGAGGAATAATTGCCAAACGATGCAGCAGCACCCGACTCGCTGAGCTCTGTGTCAGCTCCAACTGGGAGGGAAATAATACACTGAATTTAAGGGTCGAGGCTCCTTGAATTCCAACGTTGTTTTAATGAAATACTTCACCTGTCACAAGTGCCAAAACGTGTCATTATTGTACAGTCACGTCAAGGGAGGGCTGAGCATCCTTTACCCAACCTGTTTCTGCATCCCAAACTACCCGGAGCAACCCTCTATCAGGGGGAATCTGATCTTCCCAAAGGAAAAACAACATTACTCCAAATAGCTGGAAAAGAGGAACCTCAAAGGGAAGGAAGAAAGTTTTCTGAAGTGCCCAGTTCTTCCCCCAAATTTATGGGCTGGTTTTAAATCTCACTTTTGTGCTGTTGTAGGATTTCAGTCCCCAAATTTGAAAACTCCTGAGGGGTGGACACGTTGAAAACATTAATCCACCTACAGGTGAGCAAAGGTAGAGCTGGTTTGCAAGGGAAGAGATGAAGGGATGTCATGGGAAGTTATCCTATCAGGTTTTCCTATCAGGAATGATAAGTCAAGGTTGTTTTTCTCCCTGTTTGAAAAATAAGTGCTGGGGATTTGCAGAGATGAAGAAATAAAAATGTTCCCAGCCCTGACTCTCCAACCGATCACATTTCGTGCTTCCTTGCAGGAATATGATCCTATAAATTTCAGCCTCCCAGGACAGGATCCTCAGACAGCATCAGTAAGGAAAGCTCCATGAATAGTGGGGAGATAACACAATTTTTGGGCAGTGAAATGTCTGACAAAATGGATATTTTGGAGTTCACAGATCCATTGGTACAGTCTGTCTTCCCCCTAAAATCTTTGGGGCAAAACCAGCTAATAAAGGCTGCAATATTCACAATAATGGGGCAAAACCAGCTAATGAAGGCTGTAATATTGACAATAATGGTGCAAACGAGTCCTGTGCTGACCAGGACAGGGAAATCCAGCCCTCACTCTCCTTTGGGGAATATTTGTTCACCAAGAAAATTTCCTTGTAAACCTCTGATTGTAAAGCATTGCATCAGCCTGTCTGCTCATCATTCCAATCATCAACTCCTCTGTTTCTCGTTCCAGAATCACTTTAGAGCCAAATAATGGGAATTACCCATTAATTTGTTCCACTTCTCCCACGCTCAGCACCAGGAGAAGTCCAATCCCCTGCATCAAACCACAGCCAGAGCAGAAAGAATCAGTTTTCCTTCTTTGGAAGCAGCAGTAATGATGGGAAAACAGGGAAAGGGCAGGCAGGGAGAAAATCCTTGGTAGTGAGCCTCCCCTTGCTGCCATTTTCCAGAAGGATCCAGCTGGAAGGTTTAGGAGCAGCAAATTGGCATTTCTGTGCTGTGGAGCATGTCCAGGGGGGTAAATCCAGAGCCAAGTGAGCTCATTAGAGCTGGCACAGCATGGAGCAGGGATGGCCCTGCCCTGGGGTAGCAGGGAATTGGCATTTGGGCGCTCCAGCAGAACTCCAGGGGCATCACTTATCACCAGGGGTGCTGGTCAGGGGTGCTGCCTCAGGAAATCTGGGATGGATTCGTCTGGTGCCAAATTCCCTGGAGATCTGCAAGTCTGGTGCGAATGGAAAAATTCCCTGGGGGGGATAAATGGAGATGCTGTGAGAGGACAATAAGTTGGAGTGGTTTTGTGTGGTAAAACAGTTCACTTTGACTAAGGAACTTCATGATATATCTTAGTGGACTTGGTGGTATCCAGCTAAAGGTTGGACTTATCTTGGAGGTCTTTTCCAACCTTAATGAATCTATGATTCCATAGCAAAGACCAGCAGGGACCACACCTGGAGAGGTCTTTCCATTTTTTACCGTTTTCCCTGGATAAATCTTCCTGGGGTGTCTCCATCCATGGAGATATTCAAAAGCCACCTGGACAAGGGCCTGGGCAGCCCAGTCTGGGTGGCTCTGGCTGAGAAGGGGGGACCTCCAGGGCTCTCTCTGGTGAGCCTGTGAAAGGCAGGGCCTGCAGGAATTCCCATTTTGGACTCCTCTCCCTCTCCATGCCAAAAGGTCACACTTAGAACACAGCCTTTGGTATCTTCCTTTTTGAGGCTTCGAAATTCTTCAGGTCACTCCATGTGAATTATTAAAATGTGTGCTAAAAAGTGAAAGCCCTGGCTAATTGTGATGTCCTGATTAATGTCAGTAGACAAGTGTGGCTGTTCTAATGAATATTCATATTTTTTAGGCTGGGAGGCAAGAGGAACAAGTTTTCCACCTGAGCAGAGATGTGGGGTGGATCAACATCTCCTTGGCTTTGCCTGGTGAGGATTTTGAGTCTTGTTGGAGGCATCAACTCCCCCTTTACAAACTGTGAGTAACCACACATGAGCTATGAGTGTTTATTGCCTAGAATCACCCCAAAATTTCTGCCTGAAGGATGAGTCAGGGTTATATAGATATATAAATAGATATATAATATATAAAAATATATAATGTATAATATTTAGTGTATGATATATAATGTATAATATTTAGTGTATGATTATAATATATAATATTTAGTGTATAATATATAATATTACATATTATTATATTATATAATATATAATAAATATTATATAGTATATATTATATAAAATTATATATTATATTTTATAATTTTATAATATTATTTACATTATACATAAGCCTAATGTATATGATATGTATATATTTTTTATATATATATACACATATATATACATATATATATATACGTTATATATATGTATATAATGAGACTGTTCTTAGCAGCCTGGATTTGTTAAATTCATCCCTGAAATAATGAAAATTAGCTTAAAAAATTTACATGGAGTTTTCCTCATGACCAGTGCAAAATTCCAGATATCTAAAGTGTAAATTTGGAAACTCCCAAGATTTTCCCCTCAAATCTGAGGTATCTGTGCCATCACCTCTTTCAGGTAGTGAACACCAGTTCATCCTGACAGGTATCCCTGTCTCTTTTCCCACTGGAATGTGCTTACCACTCATCTGGAGGTTTTCCATGGATGTAAATAATCCCTATTGCTCCTGGAATTTGGATGTAGGGAATCCTTCTCTGGCTGCTCCAGCTGCCTCTCAGCTCCCAGAGCCACACAGAGCAATTAAGCTTTTCTATGGAGCCAGATGGATGGAACAGCAGCTCCCATCCAAAAACTCTGGCACATTCCATGGAGCAAAGTGAGACAGCAGAGGCTCCAGTGCTGGGGGAGGTTTTCTGGAAGGTTTTGGCTTTTTTTAATCAAAAAAATATGATTTTTATCGAATTTAATAGATAGTTAATGACAAACCACTCATCTAATTCATGTACATTGTATTAAAATAAACCCCAAAGCACCTGAGGAGCTGCTGATCCTCCAGAAATCCTTGTGATTCCTTCCCTCCTTTCCTTCCTTCCTTCCTTTCCTTCCTTTCCACCCTCCTCTTTAAAAATAGAAAAAGAGCCACACTTTTTTAATGGGCCTTTGAATCGAAACCTGAACGCTTGGTTTTTATGAAAATGGTCTTTTGAGATAGAACGGCTTAAAAAAATAAAATAAAGAGTCATAGAACTGACTTTTTATAGAATGGGGAATTTCTAAGTCATAAAATGACTTTAAAAAATCCTGGTAAGTTATTTTTGAAAGGTTTTTTTGTGTGCCTGATTAAATATTCCATTTCTATGGATTATTCCCAGCTGTGAGATGTTTCCAGATTATGATCTTATTTCTATCAATTTTGGGTTTTTGTTTTTTAATTCCCTTGGGATTTGGAGACACTGAAGTAGCAACACAGGGAAAGCCAAACCCAGGAGCTGCAATAATTTCACTCCAGCTTTTTATCCTCACCAGCCTTAAACCCATTGGAATGTGTTCCCATTGTTATATATCATGGAATCATACAATCATGGAATGGCTTGGGTTGGAGTGGACCTTAAAGCTCATCCAGTTCCAGGAAGGGACACTTTCCACTATCCCAGGTTGCTCCAAGCCTTGTCCAACCTGGCCTTGGATGTTTAAATAGTAATATTATATTTTTATATTCCACAAAATAACAAAAATAATGATTTGCAGGCAGGCAGCTGCACCCATTAATGCCCAAACTGAGCATTCCCTGCATGGTGATGGTGGTTGAAATGCTTGGGATCCAGGCAGGAATTCCCAGGAACAGGGCAGTGTGTCCACAGCACGCTCTGGGTGAGGAGGCCTGGGGATTGTACTGGGTTATTTCTGTCCCTATTCAGAATTCCTTTTGTTTCAGTCAGGCAAAGCTCCTGCTGGAGACAATAGGACTTTTCTGGCAGCAGGGAATGCTAAACAGGCCCTCACTGAGCAAACTGCAGCTCTTTTATTCCAACACGGAGCTGGATGCCACCGATATTATCGGGACCATAATGGGCTGTTCTTCCAATCACAGGCTTGATTTGAAAAAAACCCCCAAGTTTAGCTTAAATATTAGCACTTCTTCCTCCTTATCCACAGGCATCCCTGGCAGACTGTGGGATCCAGGGGGGGTTGCAGCCCCCGGCCCCTCTCCTGTGAAGTCCTCACCTCCCAGGCTGCTGGGAGAGCAGAGCAGAGATTTGCTGACAAACCTTTTCAGCCTAATCCTTTATTATCTGAGCGCAGTCAAGAGCCCACTTCACATGAAATACTCGCTGCTACAGATGGCAGAGCCTGAGCCTGAGCCAAGAGCAGTGTAAAAATACATTTATTCCAACACAGAGCCCTTGGCCAGCCCCGTTTGCTCTGTTTGTCATGCTACAGGAGGGATCCTCCACCATGGTTCAAATTCATTAAAAGACCACATGGACAAAACTGGCCTGTTTCAATCAAATGTCACAATCACAGGACACAATTTGTGTGCACAGAATAAGGAGAAAGCTGGCTGTGGGCTCTTGGGTTGGTTGATCTGCTGCTCTCCACCATGAAATGTTCTTGTTAAGCCATTCCTTTTTATAACTGTATTGCTGGGAAACTTTCAAACTTCCTCTCTCTGAAAACAGTCCTGATCCAGATTTGGAATTGTTTGTCCCTCTTTCCAAATCTGACTGATTTAGCAAATGATCTGGGTGTATTTTGCCCGACTGTAACCTTGTCTTTGGCCACTGCACTGGGACCTGGGAAGATGCAAAGCTCTCTATGCCCAACTTCAGGTAATTCCCAATATCTTGCAAAACTGGAGCAGCTGAGCTTGGGGTTTTTCCCAACCCACCTGCACAGCCAAAATTGAATTTCCCAAGACTCTGAGCTGCATCCCATGAGGATGATCTTGTAATTCCTCTCTTCAGCTGTGTTGTTACATTCCCTCCTGCAGATCCATTGCTCCCACATTTACTGTCACAGTGGGTGGCTACAATGGTGACAAAGAACTGGGCAAAGGGAAAAATTCCCGTGTCTCAGATTCCATAGGTGTGGTGCTTTGTCAAAACCCTTTCATTTCCAGAAGCAAAACACCTGATAAACGTGGTTATTAAAATATCCTCCAGGTTTGGGGTTTCCCCCCCCCCCCAAAAGTGTTATTTCCACTTTCTGTCCCTTTTTAATAAAAAGCAGTAAACAGCTGTTGAGAGGTAATAACATCCCAGACCTCTGCTTTCATGCATCAGTGTGCCCAAGGATATGGGAATCTTTAATGGAATAAAAGATATTCTTAGGAAATGGACTCTCAGGCTTCAGTTATGAGAAAATTTAAAATTGCAACCATATTTTAACAGGAAAAAAAAAATATTTTTCTCTTCTTATCTTCGTGATGGCGTCTCTTAATGCCATAGGAACTCGTGGTTTGCTTTATTCCATAAAGTAATCACCTTTTGAAGTCATTCATATGCTCAGATAAATAGAAATAAGCATAAAATTGCTTATTATGTTGGTTTCTACAAGGGCAGAGTTCATGCCTTTCCCAGTATCTCTACATTTTATAGGATCAGAGGATGGTTTGGGTTGGAAGGGACCTTAGAGGTCATCATATCACAGCCCCAGGGACACCTTCCACTAGCCCAGGTTGCTCCAACCTGGCCTTGGACACTCCCAGGGATGGGGCAGCCACAGCTTCTCTGGGGAACCTCTGCCAGGGCCTCCCCACCCTCCCAGGGAAGGATTCCTTCCTAATATCCAATGTAAAGCTGGTTTTGACAATCCCACTCCTTGGAGCTGTAATAATTTCCTTTGGAGGTGTAATTGTTGCAAAAAAAGCAAAGGAAAAGGCCCTTTTCAAATGATCAGAACAAATGCTCTGATTAACCTCATCATGGGTTTTTTTTTTCCCCTTTGCATATTTAAATAACAATTTTTTCTGAGATGCTGATGGTTTGATTTAAAGTCATGATCAGAAACATGAATACTTTCCCCAAAAAGAGAGAAACAACTCACACAGCTCCGAGAAATCCCCCAGGCAGGAGTGGGAATGAAAGTGCTCCTGGATTTCTTTTCCTGAGGTACCTGAATGCATCCCAATAATTATGTCCTTTTCCCAACTGCAGCCCAGCCCTCCAGCAGTTTGATTAGAAAATAAAATAACTTGAAGGGAACAGACTGGAAATATGAAGCTGAGGGACACTGAGCTGCATGAGAGCAAGGCAATGATGGAGGAGGTTCCTCATTATTCAGCCCTGGGTTTAATTCCAAACTCTCTCCCCAGAACAAAAGCACACACTTGACAATGATTTGTCTGATTTCTGCACCACCATATTCTGGGCAGGAGCCCAATTCCTGCTAAAAACCACTTCTTTAAGTGGCACTGGCTGGAAATGTTTAGACAATTCAAATGTAACTTCTGCACGGCTTTATTTTCTCCTCTCCAGGTGAGAGGCAACTTTCAAATAAATTAAAGTTATGATGTTCCAAGAGCCATCCCCACTGCAAACAGAATTAGACTGGCAGCAAATCACAGGATGCTGCTTTGGAAAAGGCCTCAAAAATGATAATTTCCCAGGAATTTTCTTCTGTGGGGAAGGCTGAGACCCTTTAATCTGCTCTGGGTTTCCCAGTTGCAGTTTTGTAAGAGCAGCATTCCCGTTTCTGCTGGGCCAGAATCATCCAGAGTAACTTTGCTGCTCTTTGGGGGGTTCCTTCAACTCCCCAGCGTGTCACAAGAAGCAGAATTTGGCCCCAAATTGGCTGGAATTAATCTGGGATGATGTCAGTGGTTGGCTATGATGATTTACCCCATAAAATGCAGCTGGTTGGGAATCAGTCACTAATGCAAGAAATCTGGGAATTAATGGAGGGAAAAGAAGGCTTTGCATTTTCAGCTGCTTTCACTTTTGGCCTAATTAAATGTCTCTAATGCAGCCCAAAATTAAAGGGAAACCTCATAATTGGTGTTTGAGATGAAGGGAAGTTTGAAGGAAA